GGGGGGGGGGGGGGGGGGGGGGGGGGAGGAGGAAGGGCGCATGGGCTGGGAGAAGGAGGGACAATCAAAAAAGAGGCGCAGGCACAAAGGGCGCACCAGAATCGGGAGATCCTCGATGGTGGGATTGGAGCCGCTCCATTCGGCCCACAGATCCGGCGAGGGGACAAACCGGCCGAGCGCATCCTCCGGAGCCGGGGGCGTGGCGGTCGCGGCGGCCAGGCCGGTCGGCGCGCCAGCCCACTCCGGACGGAAGCGCAGGTGCGCATAGTCCCGCGCGGCGGCCATGCACCGGCGGTTGGCCAGACTGGCCAGAGCCCGGAGGTTGGGGAAGATGCTCCGGTGATGATCGGTCACGGACCACAGGTAGTCCAGAGCCCAGACCAGCTGGCACATATGGTCAAGGGTGGAACGAGCGTCCTCCAGGTCAGCCGGCGCAAGCACATCATTGACCTGTCAGGCGCGCGAACATGGGACCCACATGCGAATGGGGATATAGAGAGAGGGGCGCGAGAGAGAGAGAGAGAGAGAGAGAGACATAAGTAACATGAATGCTGGGAGGCGGGAAAAGACCAATAAAAAAGGAAGGAAGGAAGGAAGAGGCTGGCCGAAGGGGAGGACGCGTACCGCCTCGGTCACCTGGGCGATGAAGGTCTTCATGCTGGTGGAGTCGCGCTCATCGATGCTGACATAGGACCCGGTTGACATCCGCCGGCTGGAGTCGCGCTGCGACGGCTCGGAGTCCGAGTCCGAGTGATGGGTCTCGTCGTTGAGCTGCCCGTGGGTGTGGGAGGTGTGCTCATCGTCGCTGTCATCGTCGGAGGATGAAGAACTCCCATGGCCGGGAAGCTGGCCGCTGGAGTCGCTATCCGAGCCGGACTCATCGTCCTCGGTGACGCCATACATGAAGAGGCAGCGCTCGCTGGGGGGGATCGCAGGGGAGGCGACCGCCGGGGCGGCGGCCGCGGCGGCGGCGGCCTCGGCCGCACGGGCGGCGGCACCGATGGCCGCCGCCGCCCCGGACGACAGCATCACCGAGTTCACCTGGCGACGAGAAGCCGGCTTGCTCCCGAGAGCGGCATCGACCTCGGCTTCGGGCCCGGTGCCGGTCTCCGCCTCGGGGGTCTCGCCATTCAGGAAGAGCAGGCTGCGCAGATTGGAAATGTATGTCTCGGAAGAGGTGCTCTCCCGAAGGTCCTTCCCATGGCACAGGGCGTGGACAATGGCCTGACGAGCCTCCTTGTTGATGACGACCATGCGCTCGAGGCGCTCATTGAGCGTGGTGTTCATGTCGTATGAGGCATAGTCATTGTAGTCGGGATCGCTGTCGTCCGAGTCGTTGTCCTCATTTTGCTGGAGGGCCATGCGGAAGCGGACCACCCAATTCCGCGACAGGCGCGGCGTGTCCGCCCGGTAGGTGAGGCTCTCGCCGAGGTAGCTCTCCACACGGAGAAGCGACTGGGGGAGGAGGTGAACTCCCAGCACAAGGTCCAGATCGAAGGCCTATGTGGCGAGGGGGGGAGGTCAGCGACAGTGGTCGCCACATGTACGACAGTGACCACGACAATGGGGGGGAATGCGGGGGATGGGAGGGGGAGAGGCGGAGGGAGGGAGCTGGTGAGGATATGTACCGAGATGGGGGTGGCTGAGGTTCCGCTACGGAAAAGCTCGAAGCGGCTGCGATGGGGGATGATGCATCCCCAAGACCGGAGGCCGCCACCGACAGGGGCAAGGTAACCCTCGATGGATGGCTGACACGAGGGTGGGGCACAGAACAGAGCGGGAGGAGAAACCAAATAGAGGGCAAGGTCAGGGGGAGTACGGGGAGTGTCGGCGGATACAAGGGGGCGGGGGACGGGGGGGGGCGGTACCATAACGAGGAAAGACCAGCGGGAGAAACGGAAGAAATGGGCAGCGACTGCCGGCCGGGTGTGAGAAGAGAGGGAGGGAACGGATGGTGATGGGGGGGGGGGAGATGGGAGGGGGATGGGAGGGGGGTTTGGTCCTCAAGAAGGAAGAAAATACAGATCCCTGGCCCAAAAAGCCCCGAAGCATGGGGAACCGGACACAAGGGAGCCAGGTGCCAAACGCGGGCCCCAGCCCCCGGCTGGCCCCGCCCAAACTGGCACACCACTTGAGGCCGAGGAGGGGGGGGGCCATCTTTTTGCCCCCGCCCGGGTGGAGGAAGGGGAGTGTGGGGTGTCACGTACTCGGGCATCGCGGCACAAGCATACACACATGTACACACGCACAGATGTGCGCGCACACACACACACACATGTACGCACACATACACATGCACACATACACATGCCCTCGGATACACGAGCAGGTCCTCACCGCGTCCGATTGTCTCGAGGAGGACGCGGCATTGGAAATCCCTGCAAAGTGCGGGGCACGACTGAAACATTCGGACCTATTAGTTTGGGCAGCCGGGCATCCTGCATTATTGCTGTTGCCAGTGCGTATGCGGGGGGGAGGGGGGGGGGGGGGGCGTGCGCGAGCCCGGGTCGCCACGGCGCTACGGATCGGTGATTATTGTTGTTGATGCTCTTGGCGCGGTAGGCCGAGGCCCGGGGCGCGAGCGTGCGGGTTTTGTGGGGATGCCCGCGCCCGAGGCAAGTCCGAGACGGGCGGTGGAAATTCAGCACATCTCCACCGCACACGCAGGCGGCAGACGGCCCCTGTGCGAGGCGCGCTCGAGGGGGCTCTCTTCTCGAGGGGGGCGATCCGGGAGTCGCGCGGCCCGGTGGCCGGCGACAAAAGGCCCGGCCAATCCGTCGGAAGTTGAGGGGAAGCAAACGGCGAACGCGGGGCGAGGAAGGACGGCCCCGCCCGGCCCCCGGCCGCCACCAACACACTCAGAGCCGCGGGGGGGGGGGGGGGGGGGGGGAGTGCCCCCCCTCGCCAGGGGCCATATGGCCCCGCTGTCCTAGGGGCACAGCCCGGCCATACCTGTGCCTCCCCCCCGGTGCTGCTCCTCCGGCAGCTTCATGGAACGAAAATGACCGCCTCCCTTGGCGCGCTCCGCCTCCCCCCCTTCCGCCTAAGCCGCCCCAGTCAGCGGCCCTTCGCACGCATGCGTGCAAGGACGCACGTAAGCGCGCACGCCCGCACGCAGACACACCGGGCACACGGGCTCGCACGCCCGAGGGCGACCCCACGCGTGGTCCCAGAGACCCGCCTGGGAGGTGGGGCTCATTTGGCGGGGCGAATTGTCGGCTGGGCGATTTCCATGAAGGTCCGCAAAGTGAACCAGGCAAGGCAGAGGGAGACGCCCCTGAGGCCGGGGTGTCGGCCGCCCGCGTGCGAGCCGGACGCCGCGACCCCTCATGCCGCCAGGTGGGTGGTCCGGCCGCCACCGCGGCCACGGTGGCCATGGTGGCGAGAACGGCAGACCCACCGATGGACGCGGATGCTTGGGAACTCCCGCCCCCCCCGCCCCCGCCCCCGCCCCCGCCCCCGGACCCGGTGGCGCGGGGGGGGGGGGGGGGGACCTCCACGGTTGGGCGTTACCAACTCGCTCACCCGTGCCGTCCGGCGGCCCTGGCTCAAGAGAGCCCGGGGCCAGGCCCCTCTCATCAACGCGGCACGGCCGCACCAAGCC